ATTATTTCATACAAAGTCAAATGGGGAAGCCAGGTTCTCTTCACCGCGTTATTAATAACTTTAATAACTGCAGGGATTCACTTTAACAACTGTGGCAAGAAAGGTCGTAAAACGGAGCAAAACTCACTTAATAAATTTCTCACTTCCTCAGTGACTTTTCGTATTAAAAAGTTTGCAAAAAGGAGATGTAAAAAAGGAGATCACGTGACCCTGGGACACTGCAACCATCAGAAATATGAGCCAGTTGTCAAGCGTCCGAATTTGGATCAGGTGACCATGGGGATGCTGCAGTGGTCATAAGTGCCCCTTTTTCGGTGCTGTTGTAACTTTGAACAGTCAACTAAGTGAATGGCTGTACCTCGAGGAAAGCCTGCAATTAATTCCCCACAGTGCGAAAAAGTAAATACTCTTGCCCAGTGGGTTCAAAATACGAAATGTATGGTTTGATTAGACATCCTGCAAGAAATAATTTGTAGCTATTAGTGTAGTTGTGGTCAGGTTCTGCGTTGTTGTTTTTTATGCAATTAACACCTCCATGGAGATTTTACTCTTATATGTTATCTGTTTTATCAACCTTGTATGCTGCCCATCTTGCAGAATACAGAATAACAAGAGTTGAGACCTCGGAGGTCTTCTAGTCTAACCCCCCTGCTCAAGCAGGAGATCTTATATCAATCTGGACATTTTGGATGCTGCCAAAGGCGACCCCCGGTGACTTAACAAGCATTTGAATAAATTGCAATGTAAAACATTTAAAACAATAAAAATATTTTAATGGAAAAACAATCATTTAAAATAAAACTTTAATAAGATAGAGAGATAGGGAGCAAAATGCACAGAGAGAGGAGAAGGTGGGGGTGTTCTCTGTCCCATGGGCCACTATTTACTATGTGGCTGGTCCTTTCTCTGCCTCTACAACCATCCGTGTAACGACTGAAGTTACCCCAGCTCTTAAGAAAGGGACATAGCAATAGCACCTCAGACTTATATACCATTTCACAGTGCTTTACAGCCCCCTCTAAGCAATTTACAGAGTCGGCCTCTTGCCCCCCAAAATCTGGCTCCTCGTTTTACCCACCTCGGAAGGCTGAGTCAACCTGGAGCCTGGTGAGATTCGAACTGTCAAATCGCAGTCAGCAGAAGTAGAGCCGAGGTGGCGCAGTGGTTAAATGCAGCACTGCAGGCTACTTCAGCTGACTGCAGTTTTGCAGTTCGGCGGTTCAAATCTCACCTGCTCAGGGTTGACTCAGCCTTCCATCCTTCCGAGGTGGGTAAAATGAGGACCCGGATTGTTGTGGGGGGCAATATGCTGACTCTGTAAACCGCTTAGAGAGGGCTGAAAGCCCTAGGAAGCGGTATATAAGTCTAACTGCTATTGCTAAGTAGCCCTGCAGTACTGCACGCTAACCACTGCGCCACCTTGCCTCATGACCAGTTTTCACACTTAGGACTATTGCAACATCCCCAGAGTCAGGTCATCTAAATTTGGACGCCTGGCAGTTGACTCGTATTTACGACGGTCGCAACATCCCGGGGTCATGTGATCCCCTTTTGCGAGCCCCCGACAACCGGAGTCAATGGGGGAAGCCACTAATTTAACAACTGCAGAGCGATTCCCTTAACAACTGCGGCAAAGAGAGGTTGTAAAACGGGGCAAGGCTCACTTAGCTTTCTCACTTAGCGACGGAAACGTCGAGGACTGTCTAAGGATGCTTTTGAGGAGCGACAGGAATCTCCCCGAACCTTCCTGGTTAACGGTTGAAAGGTTTTCCCCTTTAACGATCTTGTTTCGTCTGTGTATCGCAATTTGACTGCCTCTGCCGGTACAGCTTGTGCTTCGGTTTCATTTCCTGGCTGCCTCGCCATGAATAATTTAAAATTATGTGTTTTTAAAAACAGCCACCGCCACCAAGTGCTCCGCTTCGGAGCAAACAAGGAAACACTACGATATTTTAATATTTTATTTCACGGGCCGTTCCTGGAAGGCTTCCGGAAGAAAGGACTCATAAAGTGTGTTTGTTGGTCCGATGTGTGATTTATTGATTCCCTGCTGGAAAGGTTGCGTCATCTTTGCAGCGGAGAAAACAGCTCTTATAATTCCATCAAGACCAGGGTTGTTGTCCCAAGGGGGAAAATCCTGGGCTAGAATTGCAGAGATAAAATTCAAGTTCTGCCTTAGCCATGATAGCTAAAGTGACTTTTGCCCAATCAATCTTTCTCAGCCCAACCTACCTCACAGGGCTGTTGTTTTGGGGGGAAATCGGACAAGGAAGCTGTGTCGGATGCGTTCGCTGCCTTGAATTATTTAGGTTTAGGTTTATTAGATTTATATGACGCCCTTCTCCCAAGGACTCGGGGCGGCGTACAACATTAAAATAAACACATAATACAAAAGTTAAAAAAAAATTAAATGGACTATCCCAAACCCAATTAAAATTGACAATGACTTAAAAAAAAATTCGAATTAAAATTAACAGTGATCAATAATTTATTTTGTTTTGTTCAGGCCAGGCTGGCTTGCTGGGAAAGCCAACTTGAATTATTTGTGAGAATAATGAAGGCGGGAGGCATCTTAAATTAAATTTAGAAGAAAAAAAATAATAATCAGGTACTCCTGGACTTAGAACAGTGACCATTTACAGTTACAAGGGTGGCTTCTGGCTTTTTCACACTTAACGACCTTTGCGGCCATTCTCATGGTCTCGGGATCAAAATTGAGACGCTTGGCAACTGATTCGTATTTATGACGCTCGTGGTGTCCTGGGGGAGTCATCTGGGATCCCCTTTTGCAGCCTTCTGACAAGCAGAGTCAGTGGGGAAGCCCAGATTCACTTAACAACGGTGTGATGAGCTTAACCACTGCAGTGATTCCCCCTGTGACAAGAAAGGTGGTGAACGGGGCTGAAACGTCTCACTTAGCAACATAGATTTTGGGCTCAGCTGTGGCCATAACCCGAGGACTACCTGTACCGATGTAATAATACCTGGCTTCCTGATGTGATGTTGACTGTGGTCAGCATGTGATACCTGAGCAATAATAATTTCCTCCATTTCGTCATGTGAGAAAATGACTAGCCAGGTGATAAATGGGGTGACTTGGACAATGAATCACGAGAGCAAAACAACATAGGTATATATAATATCAAACATCCTCCTTTGATGTTCATTTTCTCCTGCTGTGGACGGTCAAATGCCTGCTTTGGATTATCATTTTCCCACTGCCAAATATCTATTTCGTAAGTTTTAGATGTGTAGTGAATTTTATGTAGTGTGATAGATTTCTCCCCCCCATTTTTTTTGCCTGTGTGTTCGTTTGTTTGTTTTTAATTTTTATTTTAAACACAAACACATCACAAAAACAAACACAAGACTTAAAACAACATAGGAACAAGAAGTTCCATCATATATCATACAGCAGTTCCGAATCGGTTTCTTTACAGTTAGTGTTTTTCCTTCTATACATTTCTATCTTGCATTCATGGTCTCCATATTCGTTATCCATTTTTATGTACAATTCTATATTTATTTATACTTAGCTATTTATAACAAAATATTGTTTACCTGTATTATGCTTTATATTCTTACTGTCATTTATTCTCTTACATACAATTATAGGTATACATTCACATAGTTATTCTTTTTCTTTGCCATTCTTATACTTTTGTTATTCCATTTAAAAGGTTATAATATACAGTTTGGGTTGCTTTGTTTACCATCCCTAGCGCCTGTTGTAACACCACCTTATTTTCCCTTTCTTTTTTCCCTCCCTTCTCTACTTCCTTCCTTCCTCTTCTCCTTTCCCTTCTTTCTTCCCTTACCTCTCCCCACTCCTACCCTCTCTCTTCCCCTTCCTGCCCTCTCTCCTTCTCTTTCTCTCCCTTCCACCCATCTCTCCTTACCTCTTTCTTCTTCCCTTGCCTCTCCTCCACTCTTCCTCTTTCCTTTCTACTATCTCTCCTTCTCTTTCTCTCCCTTCCACCCCCCCCTCTCCATTCCCTTCCTTCTTCCCTCCCTTCTCTACTTCCTTCCTCCTCTCCTTCTCCTTGTGTGTTTGTTTTTTGATCTGTACAATTTTGTGCAATTTTTGTTGGGATTCCAAGAAAGCCTCGAAACCGATAAGAATTTTTAAGCTATCGAAAACACCAACAGTCCAGGTAAATGGGGGAAAATGCTGTGTTTAATTAAGACAAGATATTTAGTCAGTTGGGTAGAGGAGAATAAAGACAGCCAACAAACAGAAAAACCCAAACGCCTTTAATTGCTTTTATTCCGATAGCTAATCATGTCCAGAATGCTTAAATGTTATTCCAACATCTGTTATTGCTGATGGTATGGTTTGGTTTATTGGATTTATATGCCGCCCTTCTCCCAAGGACTCAGGGCGTTTTTTGTAAAACACATATTACAAAAGTTTTAAAAAAGTTAAAAAGTTAAAAAAAATTAAATAGAATATCCCAAACAAACCCAATTAGGATTAACAATAACATTTTTTTTTAAAAAAAAATTCAATTAAAATTAACAATGATCAATCATTTATTTTATTTTGTTCAGGCCAGACCGGCTTGCTGGAAAAGCCCAACTTTTTAGGACCAGAGGTCGGGGAATTATACGAAGCTCCGGGGGCAGCTCATTCCAGAGGGGAGGCGCTCCCACACAGAAGGCAGGCCCACAAAAGAGGACTTTTGCGGTTTCACTTAGCGACTGCTTCACTTAATGACCAGGTTGTCTGTGCCGTTTAGGGTGGCTAAAGGAGGGCTGCCCGTAGAGTCTCTTCTACGCGATCAGCTGATTTGCAGTCGTCAAGAAACAAATATGCACGTGTGAATCCATCTCTTTTTGCATACATTGATGTATCCGAAGTTATAGTTGGTCCTCCACTAATGATCATAGTTGAGGCCAGATTTTCTGTCACTAAGCGATGCGTTCATTAAGTGAGTCGCTATGTGACCGGACTTGATTTTATGGCTATTTTACTGGACTTGATTTTATGACTATTTTAATGACTATTTTACTTTACCTTTATTAAGCGAACCGACTTCTGGGTCAGAAACTGGCTGGCTGGGGAATTCTGGGAGTTGAAGTCCGCACACAATGAGCGAGGCTGAAGAACCTGTGTTTGCTTTCGTTGCTTTTAAGTTGACAGGGTGCATCTTTAGCGCGTGGCAATAACAAAATAGAACTGGTCTACTTTAAAAGAATTTGCATGTCCTTGTATTTATTTATTTTTCTTGAAGGGTGGCCGTTGAGAAAGGGAATAATTGATTGTGCCTGGGATTTAGTTCCATGGGACTAATAGAATTTGTCTTTGCTTGCCAGAAGCTGCTGAGGAAGGTTGCAAATCGCCCAACCCCAGGATGCTTTGTCAAGTTTAACCCCCCGTGACTGCGTGGATGCTGCAGCGGTCATAAGTGTGAGAACTGGACATAATCCACTTTTTTTTATATTAAAAAAAAATTGAACGGCCATTAAACAAATGGTTGTAAGTTGAGGACTACATGTTGAGGGCTAGTAAACCCAACAGTTAATTCAGAAGAACGCAGCTTCAGATTTTTCAAAGCTCAAGATTTGGGGTTCAGAAGTTCACATTTTAAGGTTTTAAAGCAGTAACGTCCGTTCCTTGGACACTACTTTCAATTCCCTGTGGCGTTCAATTCCCAGAATCCCCCAGCCGGCCCACGCATGAGGATTCTGGGAATTGAAGTTCACGGGGAATTGAAAGTTGCCAAGAATGGACAGCCCTGAGTAAGATTCTCACTAGACCATCTTCAATGTTTTGAACACAAGTATTTGTCATAAGAGGGATGCGGTGGCTCAGGGGCTAAGACGCTGAGCTTGTCGATCAGAAAGGTCGGCAGTTCAGCGGTTCGAATCCCTAGCCCCCCCCTGTAACGGAGTGAGCTCCCGTGACTTGTCCCAGCTTCTGCCAACCTAGCAGTTCGAAAGCACGTAAAAAAATGCAGGTAGAAAAATAGGGACCACCTTTGGTGGGAAAGGAACAGCGTTCCGTGTGCCTTCGGTGTTGAGTCATGCCGGCCACATGACCACGGAGACGTCTTCGGATAGCGCTGGCTCTTCGGCTTTGAAACGGTGATGCGCACCGCCCCCTAGAGTCAGGAACGACTAGCACTTATGTGCAAGAGGAACCTTTACCTTTTTATTTGTCATAAGGCTCGTGAAAGGTGAATGAACCGTGTGTTAATTACTAATCGTTGATTGCATAATGTACTTTTATCTTCGGAAGGTGCCAATTATTTTTTTGAGGAGCGGAACCCAGAAATAAGATCATGGGGGACAACATCCACATCCATGCTTGGTCTTGCTCCTATTATCTCAACTCGGGGAAGCAGTGGGTTCCTGGAAAACTCCTGCTGACGCCGGTTTCGGTCAAGTTTAAGGCGGACAAATCCGGAGAGATCCTGGCCAGCTTTCCCCTTTCCTCCATCAGCGAGATCAAGAAAGAATCGTCCGCCTTAATCTTCAGTTCCCTAACCCTTTTAGAGAGCAACACCAAGCATTGGTTCAGCTCCCTTCAGCCCAACCGAAACGTCATCTTCAACGTGCTGGAGCATTTTTGGAGAGAACAACTCCTGTCGCCCGGCGGAGCCAGGCCACAGATGGCCTGCGTCCAGACGTCCAAGGGCAAAGAATTGACCGGCTTACTGACGGGATCGGAGAAGCGCCTGGAAGATACCGCCAAGGTCCTGGAGCACCAGGGCGAACAGTTTGATAACATCATAAAAGGCCTGGACAAGATCGAGTCGGAGATGGATGTGGCGGACAGGTATGGCGACACCCCGCGGGTTCCGATCGCGATGGGCGCGGGATCGGTTCGTCCCCAGGGTGGTGGGTCATGGAGTTGGCAGGGGCCTAGGAGAACACCCGGAGGTCTTCTCCGTGAGAAATGTTGGCCTCAACTGTAGCCGAAGGTAAAGGACGACCTGTACAGGAGGTCCTCGACTTATGACCCACAATTGAGCCCAAACTTTCCGTTGCTAAGCGAGACATCTTTCAAGTTGGTTTTTTGCCCCATTTTTACAACTTTTCTTTGTCTCAACTGTTTAAGCAAATCCCTGAGAGGGCTGAAATAAGTTAGCATGGTTGTTAAGTGAATCTGCGTTCCCCCCCCCCCCGGACTTTGCTTATCAGAAGGTCACAAAAGGGATCGCATAATTCCCGCGACACTGCGACCGTCGTAAATACAATTGCCCGTGTCTGAATTTTGATCACGTGGCCGTGGGGGCACTGCAACGTCCCTATTGCTTTTTTCGGTGCCATTGTAGGTTCGAAGACAAAAAGAATGGTCGTAAGCCGAGGACTGCCTGTATTTCTGACCGTTCTCCCCCTTCCCCTTCCAGGTTGTTGTCCGAACTCGAGTCTCCATCTTGGTGGCCTTTCGGTGGGAAGCTCCCCAGGGCCGTGTCCGAAGCGGGGAAGGCGAAGGAGAACCCCACGGCTTCCCCCTCCAAAAACAAAGATGGCGTCATCATGCATATCCCAGTTATCATCACCGAACGGACCGATGCTCACGTCAAGCCGGGCAGCCTCACCCTCTTAGTCTCCGGACTGAGGATCTGCGACGCCAATTCCCAGCTGCTGCACTGGTTCGACAAGAGGGAGGTGGACGACGTGAGGGTCCAGAGCCCTTACGAAATCTGCGTCCGCCAGAGGTTTATCGGCAAGCCAGATATCTGCTACCGGCTGCTGTCGGCAAAGATGCCTGAAGCCATCCCGTTCCTGGAGGTGCAGTTCAACAAGAAGATCCAGTTCTCGGAGGACGCTTTGGCGCTGGCACGGGCTAAGAGGGCGTCTTCTCCGGAGGAGGCGGGGCCCTCCATTTGGCAAGCAGGTAAGAGGGGAGGGGAGGAAGACCCGCCCCCCCCCCCCGGGGTAGTTCGAAATTTCAGAAATAATAGCGGAAGGAAGAAGCAGGTGTGAGCCATCCATGTGCTGCAGCAGCCAATAAGGCCAATGCGACGCTATGCAGAGGTGGCATTCAGCCACTTCCGGCGAACAGGTAGTGGAGGTCGTGTCTGGGCCTGCCACCCGCCCCGGCTCTATGCGGTCCTTTTGAGGCTGAGGTGCACTTGCGGGGCGTAGTAGCAGAAATAAGTGAAAGCCGCTGATCCTACATGGAGATACTGATAGCAATAGCAATAGCAGTTAAGACTTATATACAGGGCGGGGCATAACCTTTTCTTAGGGGGTCACAGCAANCAAGAGAGCTCCACGCGGCAAAGTCCCTTGACTTACGACTGCTCATTTAGCGACCCTTTCAACTCAACAGCAGCAGCACAGGTCGTCCTCGGGTTACGACAGTTCTTTTAGTGACGATTCGACCGGGGTGCCACCCAAGATATGAAGAGGGCTACTAAATCTTGATTTACTTACTGTGTATCTTATTTTATTTATTGGCCGAAGAGGGAGCATACAATTTAAGCACAGTTTACTGTTTAGGGATTGAAGTTACGACGGCAGTATAAAAAGTGACTTATGACCGTTCCTCACACTTACGACCGTTGCAGCATCCCCATGGCCACATGATCGATATTCAGATGCTAGGTAACCACTTCATATTTATGATGGTTGCAGAGTCCTGGGACGGGGGTCACGGGGGCCTCTTTTGTAGCCTGACCAGGAAAGTCAACGGGGAAGCCAGATTCGCTTAACGTCCGCGTGACTAACTGCAGAGATTCACTTAATGACTGTGGCAAGAAAGGTCATAAGATGGGGCGAAGCACACTTAGCTACTGCCTTGCTCAGCGAAGGAAATCTGGTCGTAAGTCGAGGAGTACCTGTAATGTAGAAACTGCACTGATTCCCTTAACTGTGGCAGGAAATCTCGTAAAATGGGGCCAGACTCACTTAACGACCGTCTTGACTTAGTGATGGAAATTGCGGGCGTAAGTGGGGAACCCTTGTTGCGTTGGAGCATGGCGGTTGTCACTGTGTGGCTGTGTGTCCATCGTCAGGTTGAGGAATTAAGATCTCTGCTGATGCGTGTTACAACTTTTGTTACCTGAGACGAACCGTTGTCCTCGATTTACGACCGTATTGGGAACCTGCCCATCTCATGAAGGTCATGCCTCATGAAGGTCATGCCTCGGGCCATTTGACTCATGAAGGTCATGCCTCGGGCCATTTGTGTGAAGGACCCGATTTTATGCTTTGTTTTTGCAGCAGTCGTTAAGCGAATGTTCCAGTCATTAAGCGAACCAGCTGTTTTGCCCCAAACTGGAAAGAAATGCCTGTTTTCAGCAAGCAAAAAAAAAAAATCTGATTGTGGGATGCAAAAGAAATGGGGCCCTGTGACCTATGGGGGCAGTGACAGTTGGAGCGGTCTGTCATAATTTCTAATGGTCACTAAGTGACCGGTCATAAGTTGAGGATTATCTGTAAAGCCAGCCTTTCTCTCCCGTGGCTGCTTTCAGATGTGTAGACTTCAACTCCCAGAATTCCTCAATGCACAATCATTTATTTAGTGACTGTTCGAAGTTACGACGGCACTGAAAAAGGATCACTTAGCAACAGTCCTCGCGCTTACGACCATCACATCACCCCACCCCCCCAGGGTCACATGGTCAAAATTTGTCTGCTTTGTAACCGGCAGGTGTATGTAACAAGCCAGAATCCGATTAACAATCGTGTTTTCAATTAACAACTGCAGTGATCCGCTTAACAACAGTGGCCAAAAGAGGTCATATCCGGTGTGATTCACTGAACAATTTCAGTGACTCACTTAACAGCGGCAAGAGAGATGAGTTCAGATCATTTACTTAATGGTCCACTTAACAACCATAGCAAAAGCAGTCATTAAATCAGGCACAGCCCTCTTGCCTACCCCCTTGTTCCACCAGAGACATTCTGGTCCCAGTTGCGGTCATAAAGTGAGGATTACCTGTGCAAAGTCCCCTGCCAGCAGATGAGGCCAGAGATGGGGCAATAGATCAGCTCTGCCGTTTTGTGGGCCTTTCTGATATCCCCCCCCTCCCTCTCCCCCTCGCCTCTCTTCTTGCAGCCACTGGGTTTATGGGAAGCCTAGTTCAGGCCGGAGCAACAGCCTCCTCCTCCTCCTCCTCTCGAGGGAGCGGAGACCACCCGGAGCAGCACCAGGCTCAGCTGCAGAAGGAGAAGCAGGTTGTCTCCCAGAGTGAAACGCAGGAAATCCGCCAGGTAGGATTTACGGCTGAGATTGATTAGATAGAACTCCTTTTCCATTCGGCAATTTCTTTCTTTCTTTCTTTCTTTCTTTCTTNCTGGAGAATTCTGGGAGTTGAAGTCCACAAGTCTTAAAGGGGTCAGGTTTGGGCCCCCCTCTTCTAATTAACTACCTTTCCCCCAAGAACTTTAAGGTGGCTTCAAGGAAGATCCATCCCTATCCCGGCATAGAGAAACCGACTGACCCGATTTTATGGCGGGTTTCCCCCACTGGTTGTTAAGTGAATCCCCATGTTCATTCACTGAATCTGCAGTAATGAAATTGGCTACGGGGTATGTATGTGTCTTTGCCAAACGCCAGAAATACGTTATCTTTCGAGAGACGCCCGTCATGACTTTGAATGCTCGCTAAGCGACCGCTCGTAAGTGTTGAAGGTAGTCCTCGACTTACGACCACAATCGAGCCCCGAATTTCCACTCCTTAGCAAAAACAATTGCTAAGTGAGTTTCTGCCCCGTTTCGCAACCTTTCCTGCCACAGTCATTAAGTGAATCTCTGCGGTTATTAAGTTAGGGGCACAGTTGTTAAACGAATCTGGTTTCCCCATTGATATTGCCCGTCAGACGGTTGCAAAAGGGGATCGCGTGACCCCGGGACACTATGACGGTCATAAATATGAACCAATCCCCAACCCCCTGAATTTTGATGACGTGACCATCGGGATACTGCGACCGTCATAAGTGTGAAAATTGGTCATTAAGTCACTTTTTCCAATCTTGTCACTAAGCAAATTGTTGTTAAGTCAAGGACTTCCTGTTCAGGACTTCCTCGACTTTACGGCCACAATCAAATCCAAAGTTTTCATTGCGAAGCAAGACAGTTTTTCAGGGACTGTCTTGTTCCATTTTACAACCTTTCTCGCCACATTTGTTAAGCGAGTCGCTGCGGTTGCTAAGCCAGTGACGCGGTCGTTAAGCAAACCTGGCTTCCCTATTGACCTCGCCCGCCCGAAAGTCACAGAAGGGGATCACGTTAGCCTCGGATGTTGCAACCGCCATAAGTACATGCCAGTTGCCAAGACTCTGAATTTTGATCACGCGACTACGGGGAAATGACACGGTCGTAAGTCCCTTTTTGTCGTTTGGGAGGGGGGGGGAGTTGTAACTTCGGACACTCCCTAAACCGATAGTCGCGAGTCTACCTGGCAAGGCGGCGGCACCTGCACCGCTTGGCTGGCGGTATTGTGAACGCCGTTCAATTTAGGCCGCCATCAATGTCTCCCTGGTAGCCAACGGCTGGCCCCGAGAACCGAGTTAACTCCAGGGACGGGGGGGGGGGGCAGGGATTAAGAGCCTGCGGTAATTAACTCCTGGGCGGGTGGTGGGGGGGAGGAAGAGGAGGATTTGAAGGGAGGGGGGGGTGTTGTATTTTTAGCCGCAGCTTTTGTGTCTGCCTTTTCCATGAAGTAACACAATCCCGAGCTGACACCCAGCCAGTCTTTCTGGCACGGGGCCTTCAAAATCTGAGCCAGCCTCGGCTCTTCGGACTGGTTTCTGGGCCAGAGCCCGGCAGCTGTCGCGGTGTAGAGGGGGGGGGG